TTTTTGTTTTAGATTTCATTTGTTGACATTTTTATTTTCTGTAGAAAAAAGGCAATGTATTTTAACTACTTTAATATTTTTGCTTCCACTCAATGAGTTCCACACGCTACACTACAGAACTAAACTAAATTGATCTTCATTGCTGTATACATTTCATACGTATTTACTTGGTCCAATGTGCACTCAAACATTTCAATGATGCTGAAAGCGCCGCGGCATTTATTGCATATTTATTCATTTTTATATTTACAAAGCAGACATAATTCATTTCATTACATTTTCAACTTCACAAACTGTTTTATGACTTATTTCGTTGTTGTTACAGTTGTTGTTTTTGTTTTTGCTATTCATCATTTATTATTTGATAATGGAAATAATTCAATTCCAAAACCACTATTTTTTATTTGCAATGTTTTTTTGTAGTTTGTTTTTCTTCTATAGAGTTTTGTATACATGTGTGCAGCGGTTTTATTTAACTAATATTTTTATATATGTAATTTGTACATGATCCTAGTTTATTTACACGATTTATATGCGCTCAGTTTTTGTCTACATTAAACTACTACTATATGTATATATATATTATATATGCCACCACACATGGTACACTTTGCCTCCTACGGGTACTCTTCACGAGCTGCGCTCCAGACGTGCTCAGCTTTCACAAAATCCACACCTGCACGCGTCGCAAGCAACCAAAACTCGCTAAAAAGCAGTCACGCAGGCGCTCACTACACTCTTTCTCTCGATGTCCCGCATACCACCAACATTCACCCATACAATTTTTGTTCAAAGGCAACAATCGTTTTCTTGTTTTAATATTATGCAAATAAGATTAATGCTGAAAAACCTAATATTTACGTGCGTTTATAATTTTTCAAGTGCTAGCCCTAACTGCATGCGTAATATCTATCATAAACTTAAAAAATATATATATTCCTTTACGTATGTATATATGAATGTGTATATTACATGGTGTTCTACTTGGAACTATTTTTGCTAGCGGTTGGCTTACGATTTAATGGTTTGTCGCTATAAACCGTTGCCTGTTGCATTTTTGTACGTAATAGTGTATATACTCTCCACCGGCGACTGATCGTTGCTATTACTGTAATAGTTGTTGTTGTTGTTGTGTGTTTGTATACTCCATATTGTCGCATGGCGCATGCGTGCTCGGATTATGGCTTGGCCACTTCCTAGTATGTACTGACTCGTAGGCGTGTTTGACACGCCTTACGCACTGCGCGCATGCCCATTTACTTGTTGCCATCACGATCGCGGCCACCATGATTACCAGCCGCATTTGTGTGCGCATTAGCTTGGCCACCGGTCGTTGAGTTGTTCTGCTGTGGCATTGTGTCGCAACGCCTGTAATATAATAGGTAAGGCACGCGTGGTGTTTTCGGGTAGAGAACCTCATTCTCGCTAACCGGCTTCACGGAGCTATCATTGTAACGCAGCCAGCTGCTGTAGCCCGTGTGATAGACGTCGGTGATGTAGTGGCCCTTGGTCGCCTCTTTGCCGTCATGATAGACAACGGCGAATAGGCGATAGGCGCGCTGTTTCATCGAGTACTTCTTGGAGGCGAGTATTTCTGGCGAGAAAATTCAAAATAATATCAAAATAGTAAAAAGTTATTTTGTGACACTCACTTGCGTCGATCTTCAGATCAACTGGGAATTCGACTTTCTTCAGTATCTTCGTACAGCCATCCGAGCGGTAATCGAACCATTTCAAGTGCAAAATCAAGATTGTTGGCAACTTCTCCAATGTCATTTGCTGCCAAGCTACCACCTCTTGCTTGGTCTTGCTGCCGGTGACACCCTCAAGCTGATCGCGTCCGACCAGTATTTCGAGTGCCTCCTTTACCGATGCGGCTTTCTGCAGTAGAAGAGGATATAAGTAAATATTGTTCCATCTAAGAAAATCGTCAAATTTTAACTAACCTCAATGTTGAGTTGTAATGTGAAGAATGGTTGTATGTCATCGGTGGAGTGTTCTCCTTCGCGTTGCAGTCGCGAACGCAACTCACCACGGAATATATCGCTCAGTGGAGTACGTCCGAAATCTTGTTGGCGTGTGACGCTGCCTTTATTGCGGTTATTGCAGATCATCTAGCGAAAGAAAACGTTTTGTATGATGAATATTTAAGATTATGGAAGGCTGTATTAGGTCGATGTATATACACGGGATTTAATTTTATATTAGCATTTGAATTAAACTTTTGAATTTTATGCACTAAAATGTAGAAAGAAACAAGACTGCAACTATGACTGTAGTGAAGCTTTAATACCCTTCACTGCCAGCTATATGCTATAGTGGTCAGATCTGAGCAATATGTTCAGAGATTGTAGCTCTGCCTCGGACAATGAAGCAAATTTTGTAAAGATATTTTGCCCAATAAAAAAAGTTTAGACACAAGGACCTAATTTCAATCGGTTGTTGTTGTTGTTGTTTTAACGGTTATCAGTCCCCGTTGGGATGGTGATAGCCATCTGTGTTGTCGTCGATGTCATCTAACGGGAGGCCCAGGAAACGTGCTGTTTCGACGGGGTCGGACCAGAGGGAAAAGGGTGTTAGAAAGGTGGGGTTGGTTGGGCATGCAAAGAGGTGGTCAGTGTCATGCGGAGACTCGTTGCATGCAGGACATACGTTGGCTATGTCTGGGTCTATTCTGGATAGGTAGGAGTGTTAATTTCAATCGGTCACTTTGTATGGCAGCCATGTGCTATAGTGGTCAAATCTAAATCAATTTGTCCAAATATTGTAAAAATGCCTTCGACAATAATTCATGCCAAATTTGAGGATGATAGCTGGTCAAATAAAAAACTTTTCCCATATAAAAACTTATTATTCGATCAGTTGATATGAGAGCTTTATGTTATAGTGGTCCAATATTGGCGGTTCCGGCAAATGAGCTCCATATTGAGCAGAGAACGACGTATAGAAAATTTCAGGTCGATACCTCATAATATACCGGCAGACGGACAGACTAAGATGGCTCGGTCGCCTTAGCTCGTGACGCTGATCATTTACATACATACATATGTACTTTATAGGGTCTTCGGCGTTTTCTTTAGGGCTTTGCAAATTACATGGAAAACTTAATATACCCTGTTTAGGGCATAAAAACGTTAATTGACTCAATTAAATTTCTATTCAGATTATAATTTCTATTAATATTAATATTTCACATATCATAACATAGTTTTTCGAATTTAGAATTCGATACATATTAATTTGAATTATAAAAATCAATTTGCATACCTGCCACTCATCGCCATCCTCACTTTCTGAAACTTCATTGCGTCCATTTTGTTCAGCATTTGGTTTGGCGACTAATTTTATAACCTTTAAAAATGTAAAAAGCAAACTTAGCAAAAACTGCAATTAAATAACATTTTTTCTCAATACAAACCTCCAACATTTCATCATTCAGCTTGTTGAGCACATAGCTCAAGAACTCCTCAGCGTCTTCTTGACGCCCCTCGACATACTCCTCACGGCTATCGATCCATAAGCGATAAATGTCACTGGGTTCAAAGGCCGAATCGCATTGCAGTTCGCTGCCCAAGTCGTCTTTGCCTTTGGGACCTTTATTGGTGCGCAAGCGCATACCAGATGGTAGTGTGGAAAATTGCGATACAAAGGAAATGCTGCGGTGAGAATAAAAATAATCGATAAATAAATAAGTTTAAACCAAAAATTCTATTATTTCAAATTTACAAAAAACTAACAAATTTTTTTTTTAATTTGTTTGTCTCTGTTCCTTGTGCTAACGGCAACTGGCAGCCGTTTTCACTATGCGATTCAAAGACTACAACAAAACACCCGCAACAGCAGCGCTATACCAAAACGGTTTCACGCGTCGTCACATGGCGCTTCGTCAACAGTTACTCTGCCATAAATGTAACGCGATCGCTTACAATCGCGAATAGAACGCAACCGCTGACTGTTTATGGCCTTGCTTATGATTATTGTTATTATTATATTAATTACAAACAAATAAACTAATGGATTGGGGCGAAAATTGGGAATGTGACTTACAGCGCATTGACAGTGGGCGTGCGTACTTCGGACAAAGCCGCCGCCTGCTTGGGTATGGAGCGTATCAGATTGTAGAATGGCGCGCAGCCTAACAGCGCTTGCAGAATGGAATTAATGTAACAGTAGTTCGAGGGATTGGTGAGACCGCGTGGACGCAGGCTAACTGTGGACAGATCGGTTTTTGACTTTGTGAGGAAATCGGCGAATTTCAGCGTATATTCGTCTAGATTGGCGCGCACAGTCGGCGTTGGTGGTTCGGGTTTGACGAGTGCCTTTGCTGCGCTCGGTGCTTGTGGTGGGATGCCCTGCGCGGAGGCAGCCGAGTAGGACATAGCGCCTGGCAATACCACGGGCGGTGTGGGATTCACCGGCGCGGGAACAACGCATTCATAAGGCGCTACTTTGGCAACTGGTTTTTTCGATGAAAATGGTGGCGGCAACGCAGGTGAGGAGTTGCTATTCTGTATGCTGGCATTTGTGTTGCTGTTGTTGCTGCTTGACTGAGCACCACTGGCACTTGTGGACTGCACGTTGGCGTTGTTGGTATCGTTGAATAGACTGGCCCAGGATTGTGTGCTGGGCGCGGTAGTGTTAGTGTTGGCGGTGATTGGTGGCGCCAAATTCATGATTGGCATTGTGGTGGCAGCAGCAGCGGCAGTGGTGGCGGCTGCAGCTGCAGCGGCAGCTTTCTTACTGCTAGTAAAGCCGGGATATTGTTTGCTGTCAATTACTAACGCTTGCTGTTGTTGTTGTGGCTGGTTTTGCGCCACTTGCGCAGCTGTTTGTTGCTGATGTTGTGCTGCGGCTTGCACTTGCTGCTGCTGCTGTGTCTGATGTTGTTGTTGTTGTGGGAAATGTTGCGGCGCTGCTGTGGTGCTGGCCGTGGATGTGGCCGCTGCCGCGCCTGCGTTGTTCACATTGCTGCTGTTCGTCGCGCTGCTGCCGCTGTTATTGCCATATTGGTTGTAGTTGTTGTATGAGCTATTATTGCCATGGTTCGCATATTTCGGCTGCTCGGCTTGGCTGTTGCGGCGATCGTTTGCATTGTTGTTGCCGAACTGTGATGGTGCATTGTTGCCGCTCACCGGCGATGGGGGCATTTTCATGCCGCCAGCATTGCGCATCTGCGGTTGATTATAGTGGCCACCGTGTTGTTGTTGCTGCTGCTGATGTTGTTGGTGGTAGTGCGATTGTTGCTGATAATTATGACCATGATTGGTATATGTCCTGGTGGAATGACCATATGTTCTATTTTGATTGTTACTATTGTTGCTGTTGTTGTAGCTGTTAGGTGTGGCAGTCACAGCCACCGATGCAGTAGACTTTTTACTCGAATTAGTCCAAGACATTGTCTTCGTAGTCTGGATGGCCGTGTCGTTGTTATTGTTGCCATTGTTATTGTTATTATTGTTCGGCGCGTACGATTGATTGTTGTAATCGTATTTACGACGCGATTGATTATTGTTGTAATTTTGCTGTGGCCTACGTTGTTCATATTGATAACTATGATTCTGTTGATGGTGATATTGTTGGCTATGATGTTGTTGTTGTTGATCATAACGATTATACGATTGTTGTTGATGTTTCGGGTGTGTCTGTTGGTGTGTTTGCTGCTGCTGTGGTTGTTGCTGTTGCTGATGATGATACTTCTGCAAAGGCGGTGAAGTCTGTATCTGTTGTTGTTGTGTCGGCACATTGGTGGCAGTCGAAACACTTGCCACAGCGGTGGCGACAGGCTGCGCAGCCACTACAGCGGCCACAGTTGGTGCCTGTTGCTGCTGCTGTTGTTGCTGAGGTGCCGCGTGGACAGCTACTGGTGCTGGTGGCGGTGCTGCTGCTGGGGCCACTGTCGCCACAGGCACTTCGGTCGCCTCCTCCTTTGGCACATTGTCATCATGGTGATGATAAACTTCAGTGGCCGCAACGACGACGGGCGGCATGTCAATAACATTTTGTGAATTGAAATGTGCTGACGCTTGTTTTTGAGCTGGCTGCTGTTGTAGCTGCTGCTTTGGCGGTGACTGGGTTATCTGTTGTTGTTGCTGCGGTAATGGCAGTTGTTGTTGCTGTTGTTGCGCCTGATAGTCCTCGGCAACGATATTTTCGGTGCTCTGGTGTGTGTGAATTTCCGTTAGGCTGGTCACAGAGCCAACGGCTTGCAACTCGGAAATTTCATCTGGGGAGCTGTTCTCAACGTTGACGTTTTCGCTCTCTGGAAGAGTAAAAAAAAGTGAAATTTAAATTATATATTTGTATCTATATGGGGCAAGTTATAAATTAGGTTTAGCGTTTGTATATATAAATTTTATATTATCATCTCTTGTTCGCTTGCAGCGGAAATGTCTGATGACACAGTTCTCTCACTTTACATGAGAACTTTATATGCTCACAGAAAAGCGCACAGAATTGAATCAACTCAAACTAATTGATTCTCATTAAAACTAGAGAAATTAAATTAA